ACGGGAAGTGTCCACAGCCTGGCACACGGGAAGTGTCCACAGCCTGGTACATGGGAAGTGCCACTGAGTATGTTCAGATACACAAGAGGATGTAGGGGGTTCACATGTGTGCCAAAAACACCCCTGAGTAAACCTTGCCTAGAGACCAAGATGTTGACCAGATTGAGCCGGCCTGCCTCACAACACTTAAGTGTGTTGGTTTAACCAAACAGTTTAGGAGGCAAAAAAGTCGCCAAATAAGCTGTCTTTACTAAATGGTTAAGAGGTAATGTATCCTTTATTAGGACAAATTATACAGACATTTTCTTGTTTAACCAGCAATCAGTTCTCAATAAAATCAGTCATGTGTGCCAGTGACAGGGACAGAGGAAGTCTCAGTACATTTTTTTCCCTCACTGCCTACAAGTTAGAGATCACACAGACCTTCACTCAGCTAGCGGTTCGACTTGTGGGTTTTTTGGAGGGGTTGTTTTATTTCTGTTTCTTTTTTTGTCTTTGTATATATGTGAATTTCTTAGATATCTCTGGACCTTCTTCACCTTGATTTCCTTCACACAGACAGGAATGACTCACAGGCAAAGTGGAATTTTCTGACTGTTTCAAATGCAGTTCCCTTCCCCCAGAAGAGTGGGGTAAGAGACGGAATTATTGTGGGTATTAATCAGGAGCTGCGATTTGCTTTCAACAAGGAAAACCCTTTGGGCCCTTTAAAAGGCTCTCTTTTTACTCCCACTGACTGTAGATAATAAATCAATTCAACAAATGTGACAAACGGCTACTGTGCCAATGCTGGCCGATGCTGCTAGGCAGAGCTTAGGAGTCCCCTCAGAGAATCATGCTCACGGTCTGGTATCAGACTTGTCCTGCCTGCAAGTCACGGCAGCTGATGTGACTGACATTCCCGTGCCATCCCCACCTCACTGAGGCTGCCTCTATTGGCATGTGGCAGAAAGAAGGTGCTGCTCCAGGGTCCCACAGCACATTGGGATACCCTACAATAAACCATATTTCTCAGATTCCTGCTCTCCGTGGAAGTCCATAATCTGCGGGCTTCATTCATAATCTGCTTGGGCATCCTTCCTCAGTGGTCTGGAGGGAAGGACGAAGCTGTATATAAAAACCAGCGTGATTCCAGGTAAGGGACTCCACGGACCATGCCCAGAGAATGTAACTGAGTGTGCCTTCACAGAGGTCATACAGAGCTGGAATGCACACGGCGGCTCTGAGAACTTCATTCTCTGCCTTATGGACAGGGAGGGTACCTCAGCGATGCAGTTTTGTTTATTTAAAGACAGTATCTCAGGGGAAGCCCCAACTCTTCTACTACTCACATCAAAATTCATTTTGAAAGGAGAAATATTTCCCTGTCTGGGTCTCTGGCTTAAAATAAGCTG